CCTTTGTACGTAAAAATAAGCTTCAGGGAAAAAAGCGATCAGAATAAAAATGACTGGTTATAAGTTACAGCAAAGTTCATGAATATTCACAAGTAAAGATTAATTTACCACTTTGTGAATAGCAAGTTGACAAAAATAATTTACAGCCCCTGCTTGAATTTCTGCCTTTTAAGTGGCATAAAATAAAATTGAACTTATTTTGCTTTTATGTTGACTCATTACGAGATTAGTTTAAGCTTTGTCTCAGGAAAAATACTGACATTTGTTTTTCAGTGTAGAGAAAATAAGATTGCATATGGCATATAGTGGCTGAGTCAGTTCCCTTTCCTGTTACCTTTCCTGGAAAAGGTTTCCAATCCTGCTCAAAAAAGGTCCATTTTGTATTAAAAGGGCCTCTACCTAGTTGTCAGCTCTGTGGGAAACGAGTCTGGGAATCAGTCAGGTGGCTCTTATGCAGAGGTTTATGTAGCTTCTAGGTGATTGTTCTTTTGTTCTCCTTTTTACAAAATGACTTGACACATTGGCACAGGACAAATTTTAGTTCATGGGCAGTCATCATTTAGAGGAACTAGTCCTTACTTTTACATGCAATGGGTTATGAAATGCCTCCACTGTCATATGCAATGTCTTTCTTGATTACATGCTGAAATAAGACAGGTAAATGGATGTGTAATTTGGAGTTTGTCACTTTTTCTGTATACCAACCTCTGGTTTCTCAGCTTTGCTTTGCCTCTTCATAAGTTTCAATTTCCAAGTGGGCTGCATTTTGTGCTTGATTTTAAAAACATCCAGAATTCAACAGAAACATTTAGTTCCCCAATAAATACTAATTGTATTTATTTTCTACGAAACATTTTGGGAAACCATAGATGTACAAGGTAGGACCCTTGCTTGCTATCAAGGACACATTCTATTAACAGGGTAGATAATACCTACTCAGGTGACTATATAGTATCAGGTAGTATATGAATATTAGGCGTTTCACCAAGTTCTGTAGGTACGTATGCTGAAGGGACAGTCACTGTCAGAGAAAGTGAGTCCTAAGATGGCTAGGATTTGAACAGGGATTTGTGAAGTTGGTGGGGCGATCATGCAGAGCAGAGAAGAATGAATGCAGCTGCATTTATGGCAGAGAAGGGTGTGTTTGGGAAAGAAGTCTGGAGCTCTGGTGTGTGGGTTGAGAGGAATATCACTCCAAAGCAAATTGGATCCTTGAATGCTAGGACAAGGAATGTAGATTTTAGTTGGTAGTAATTTCAGAGCCGCTGCAGTATTTTGAGCAGAGAAATGACGAAAGGCAGTTTGGTGATGGCTTGTAGATGGATTTGGACATGATGAGTTTTTAGAGGCAAAGGAACAGGTTGGTATCACTGAGAAAAGGAAGATAATAGGTGTTAGTAGAATTTGGCAACTGTCAAGTTTGAGGGTGTGGGGCTAGAAGGTACCATTAAGACAATTAATAATGGTGGTACCTTAATTGAAATTGGAAATCAGAAGGAAAAGGCATTTTTGAGGGAGTTAGGATTTAGAAATGTTAAGTGTTGCCATTGTAACCTTGAAGTGGAACTAGGTGAATATTTGGGTGTTTCCATGCGTGAAACTTTGGATAATGTTTATTGTAATCTATTTAAAAATGTGTCAGACTACAAAAAAAGATGGTGCTGGGTACACATCAGATTACACACTGGTTGCATATGGAGTGGGGATGGGGAGGATTAATTACCATCTTTAAGATGTTTTGGTTTTCTGAATGTTACTTTTGTAACTTGAAGAACAATAAAAAGGGTTGACTATTTGGAGAAAAAGATTCAGTAATGTATAGGGAAAAGGGAACTTGGAGGACATTCCTGAAATTTGCAAGGAATTATGTAGAGAAAAAGAAAAAAAACAAAACAAAACCTTGGACCCAAGGGAGAATGCTCAAATTTGAGGAGCAGGAAAAATAGGAGCCAGCAGGAGCTCACAGTTTGAGGAAAAGGAGGAATTAGGTGTAAGTATAAAACTTAAATTCGATTTCTTAAAGAACACTTTTAAGAAAAAGAATTCTAAGATTTAATAGGAACAGATGTTTCCCATTTTGGTTATTTTTAATTCTAATGTTTTTGTAATATAATTATTTTAAATACTTTTAATGATTATGAAATTATAAAGGACATGTTCTTTCAAGATTTTAAAACTTGTTAAAATGTACATATCACTGCAAACTCATCTTGAAGATAATTTAGTCATCTGGTGCCTGGATATATAGTACTACTTGAATTACTTTGGAAATTAGAAAATAAAGGTTAAGGTCTTCAAAAATGATTTGTTTGGTTTGTCCTGTTGAACTCGGACTTTACGAAACCTTTTTTGGGCCATTAGCCTAAATTGTGTTGAGGTTTAGTGTTTGAATTTTGAAAATGTTCGTATTTCCTAATTAAAGGAAGAATAGAACTATTAGTGGAAAAACAGTCTTAGAAATGTTTCATTCAAATGACCTTTCCTTTTTTGTTTTTTCAGGTATATTTGTATCCAGTATTGTTCTGATATTGTCACAGCGATCACTTTTCAAGTTTTACATGTACAGCTCAGCCATTTTATTAGCTGCAACTTCAGTGTTGGTAAATTATTATGCTTCTTTGCACATTGACTTCTATGGTGCCTACAACACATCAGCTTTTGGAATCGAGCTGCTTCCTCGGAAAGGGCCCTCGCTGTGGATGGCACTCATTGTTCTACAGCTCTCATTTGGGATTGGATACATTACATTATTCCAAATTCATTCCATCTACTCACAATTAATCATTTTGGATCTCTTGGTTCCTGTAATAGGCTTAATCACAGAGCTGCCATCACACATCCGAGAGACTTTAGTTTTCACTTCTTCCTTGATTCTCACATTAAACACAGTGCTTGTCTTGGCAGTGAAATTGAAGTGGTTTTATTATTCCACACGCTATGTTTGCCTTTTAGTGAGGCACATGTACCGGCTTTATGGATTCCAGTTATTACTGGAGGACACGTGGAAGAGGATTCGCTTCCCAGACATACTGAGAGCCTTCTGGCTCACACGGATCACAGCTCAGGCTGCAGTGTTAATGTACATTTTAAGGATGGCAAATGAAACGGAGTCCTTCTTTATTTCTTGGGATGATTTCTGGGACCTCATTTGCAATCTTATAATTAGTGGATGTGACTCGACACTAACTGTGCTGGGCATGAGTGCGGTCATTTCCTCAGTAGCCCATTACTTGGGCCTTGGAATATTGGCCTTTATTGGATCAACCGAAGAAGATGACAGGCGCCTTGGCTTTGTAGCACCTGTTTTATTTTTTATTTTGGCTCTCCAGACTGGTTTAAGTGGGCTGAGACCGGAAGAGAGACTTATTCGCTTAAGTAGAAACATGTGCCTTTTATTAACTGCAGTTCTGCATTTCATCCACGGAATGACAGACCCGGTATTAATGTCTCTCTGTGCCTCTCACGTGTCATCCGTTCGTAGACATTGCCCTGTGCTCTTTGTCTCTGCCTGCCTGTTTGTTCTTCCTGTTTTACTCAGTTATGTTCTTTGGCATCACTACGCACTAAACACGTGGTTGTTTGCCGTGACGGCCTTTTGTGTGGAACTCTGCTTAAAAGTAATTGTTTCTCTCACTGTTTATACTCTCTTCATGATTGATGGTTACTATAATGTCCTCTGGGAAAAGCTTGATGATTATGTCTACTATGTTCGTTCAACAGGCAATATTATTGAATTTATATTTGGAGTGGTCATGTTTGGAAATGGGGCTTATACTATGCTTTTTGAGTCAGGAAGTAAAATTCGGGCTTGTATGATGTGTCTACATGCATATTTTAACATCTACTTACAAGCAAAAAATGGCTGGAAGACGTTCATGAATCGTAGGACTGCTGTTAAGAAAATTAATTCGCTTCCTGAAATAAAAGGGAGCCGCTTACAAGAAATAGGTGATGTCTGTGCAATCTGCTATCATGAGTTTACAACATCTGCTCGTATCACTCCGTGTAATCATTATTTCCATGCACTTTGTCTTCGGAAATGGCTGTACATTCAAGATACTTGTCCCATGTGCCATCAAAAAGTATACATCAGTGATACCAAGGATAATTCAAATATGTCTAACAACAATGGATTTATTGCACCCAATGAAAACCCAGAGGAAGCTGGAGGAGAGGCAGCTGCTGCTGAATCCGACGGGGAACTGAATGACGACGACAGCACCGACTGTGACGACGATGTCCGGAGAGAGAGGAACGGAGTGCTTCAGCACACCGGCATAGCAGGCGAAGAACTGATTCAGGACGACTCTGACTAAAGTACCATTTACTAATCATTGAAGTATTTAAAATTCAGTTCACCCAAAATGAAGTAATATGCTTCACTTCAGTGTAACCAAGCACAAAAACAGTATCAATGTTGAAATCTGTGAATGGTTTTCCGTTTACTGTGATGTGCTACTGTAAATATACCTCTTTAATTACTTCTGGTCTCTTTGGTGACCTGTTTAAATTTGTGTACATTATTGTACATAGAATAAAATGTTTTCATGTTTTTATGACAAAATTTGAACAAATAGCTTTTTAATAGATGTAATGATAATACGGTGCGTCAGCTGTGCCAAAGATTCCTCAATGAAAGTGTATAATGTATCTGACTCTCAACCCTAGTATTTCTTTAGTTAATGGGAGGATGAAAGTGCAAATCAGAGGAAACCATATTAAGTCAAGGAAATAAAATAATTTGGACCAGAGGATAAAGGCATATGTTTTGTAGGATACAGGCTACATGTATTTTATAAACTAAGGAAAAAGGAGGCTTTCAGATGTGATTGAGACACTTTCTGAAATTTGAGAGTAGCATTACAGTTGAGCTGAGTTTGAAACGCATGGTTCAGAGACCAAGAGTTGAGAAATAGGCTTTTATCAACTAAACTTTGGTAAAAACCAGAATGTGCTGTTTAATTTTGATGTGAAAATCAGTATATTTGTTAGCCATTCTGTTTGTAGCGTTGACATAAAGTTGTCCTCTTGGACTTTTGAAGAGATTACAAAATTAAATACTTGGAGGTTTTGTTTTAAGCTAAGATATGAAGTGACATTTAAGAAATCCTGATTTGTCTTTGGATAAAAACGAAGGGGATGATGTATAGTTATGTAGAAGACCTTTTAGAACAACTTCCAGAGAATTTCTTTATTGAAACTTCCAGTAAATTTTACCATGAAATATTACATATGTGATGGAACATGGAAGATTACATGCCAGGAAAAAATATTTTAATGGTGTTGTTATATAATGTGTTGGCCAATTCCAGTGGATCCTCATCTCTCACTGCTGACATTATCTCCAGAATTTGACTAAAACAAAACAAAAATAGATGGTTAAATTTCCAATTTCTGTTTTAAAGGTATTTATCTTTTTCCAAGTAAAGATACTGTACTAGCACCTTTAGTAAGCTTAAACAGGTATTCAAGTTTTCAGCACTAGCAACAGGAAAGTTTTAACTGCTAGGATATGTAAAACAGTAGAGACAGATTTCTGGGGTAGTCTTGCATATAACTATAGAGCCAATATCGAGGTTCAAACCCATTACAAAACCAGCCTGTGTTATGTGTCCCACAATTAGGGAATAAACCCAGTGGAAATGAAGAGTCCTCATGTAATGGGTCATCATTACATATTTATCAGTGGGTCATGATGAGCTTTTAAAAAATCAAAGGTCAGAAAAGGAAAAGTGCACTGCACTTAGGGAAGTACTGTTTCATTTTGTTTATATGGACATGGAGTACTGCGTCACAATGTAGGTCATATTGCGGGGAGAGTAAAGTCTGAAAGCCAGTCCTAAAGGACAGCAAGACACTGCGGCACGACGACGACAGCCAAGGAAATTAGAAGTTATTTACTTGGAACAATGTATGTATTGAGGGTGAGGTGCTTTATCTCTACCTGTACTTTTTCCCCCCAAGAATATAGCTCAGGTGTCAATCTTTCAGTTTCTCTGCCCAGAATAATGATAATTATCAGTAGTGTTTTCTAGCAATATTATATATAGATAGAATATTTTATACATGAATTAGAAAGTTCTAAAGTCAAAATTAAACATTTAAATAGTCCTTGTCTTAACCTTTATGTTCCCTTCATCAGTTTCTCAAATATAAATAACTAAAGGAATGAGGGACGAAGATCAAAGATTAACTGGAAGTTTTTTACTCTATAAAAGTAACACAAAAGCCTTGCTTATTAATCTATATACTAAACGAACTGACTATACTAAATTTTTGTTATCTGACAGTCAAAATGTACTAAAAGCAAATCTAACATTTAAATTGACACTAAAGATCCACTTTTCTTAGTAAACTACAGAGTTTTCCTCTATTAACTACTTGGAATTGGCACTTACATGTGTATACTGTGAGATCAATGTGACTCCTGCCACCCATCCCCCTTCCAGTCCTCCACACCGACACCAGTTATAGCTTTAAAACAAAACAAAACAAAAACCTGCCACTTTCCTGCTTAAAATCCTTTGGGTCCTGATAAAATCTGGACTATGAAGGCTCGAATACAAGAGCCTCACAATCTGGCCTCTCCCTCTGCCTTCCCAGACTTATCACTTACTGTGCACCCTACTTTCTGCCTCACTGAGCTCACTGTTCCCCTGCAGCAGGTGGCCTTTGCTCAAGGTGTTTGTCTTGGTCTGGCTTCACTCCCAGTTAGAAAACAGCTGAAATGTCACCTTAGTTCTCTTATTTCCCCTCAAGGCAGGCAGCTGCTGCCTCCTATGGTCCCAGTCACATATTCATACCTCTGGACCAGCACCATCTGGGGTTATTGGGCAGGGATCCTTGTCTGCCTCGTTTCATGCCTTACTCACAGTGCCTGGCACAAGTACCTACTGGTGGGTGGATGAGGGCAAGGACTGGCGTGACTCTTCCGTGTAGCCTCAGTAACCGGACATATGGCAAGAGCTCAAAAATGTGTGTGAAGGAATTTCACATCTAAAAGGAAAGTTCTCTATACAATTAATGAAAACAGAACTGTTAAAAGAATTTGATAAGGACTTTGTAAGTAGGAATTTTAACTTGCTAATTAGTAATTAAATTAGCCTAGAAGCGTGTGTATTTTTGAAATGAGGTTTAAAATTTTCAGTTTGCAAATGTTACTTTTCCCAAGCTTTTCCTACTCAGAACTGGTTTTCATGCTTGCAGTTCTGTTATCAAGCCTTTTTAGTTCTTAATTGTCTGCATATAGAAACACCTTAAAATTTTGCCTTGCAAATGTGTAGCTATACTTACTTAACATTAGTTATATTTAACATTAAGGTGTATAGAAAACTAACCTGGATACACTGTTGGCAGCCTTCTTCAAGGCTGGTTGCTGGAAAATACCCATTTCTTATCTCTAGTGTCCTCTTAAATCTCCAAATAATTACTCAGAAATATTGTCTGCTGACTAAATTTGTGAGTACCTACATTTCATAAAAATTACAAATGATTCCTTACTAAGCAGAATTTTTATATATATTCCTCATCCTATGGGTTTTAAAACATTGGGTTTAAAAGTATGCCAATACCAGCATATTAATAAAGGAAAAGAATCTTTCTGATGTTTTTACAGAATAACTCACTTTTCTGCCTGCTGAATTTAGATCTGGTTTACCTAATACTCTTACCTGTTAAAAACTACTTTAAAAAAAAAAAAAAGATGGTGCATATGGAAGGAATTATTACAATCTAAAAGTAACAATCCAATATTAATTTTTATGAATGTGTTCTAAATATGTTCAATTGCCTGAACTGGTAAACTGTACTAGATTGATACAGTCTAGATTTCAATTTATGTGCTTGTGTAAACAAAAGAAAGTAGATGATGTCCCCATTAAAATGATATAACTTTTCCTGTAAATTATGCTCTCCAACTCCTTGACAGTTAGGTGGTGAGACAGCCCTCTTTTCCCATGAACTATACATTATAATGAAAAAATGATTCTGAATTGCTGTTTATTAGGAAATAAAATTCTGTAAGTTCTGCCTTTTTTGGTTGGAAAAAAGGAATCCTCTCTATAACTTGTCCTTTTGTTCAGAGGCTTCAAGAAATGTGTTATTACTTAGGTTTATGCAGGTTGTCAAATCATTTAAAATGCCAAGGTTTCCTGCTAAGTGTTTTTATAACCATCAGCAGGGAGGTTCATGAGAGCAGAACCTAAACCAGGTCTATGGTATGGAGCTTTTTAAGATCTCCCTCTCCTCCAAATTGACAAATGACCAAAATCATGTGTTCTCACCGCTGCATTAAAACCACTTTTGGTAGAGAGGATACAAAAGAAGCTGGAAACAGAACAATTCAGACACAAATTCCTCCAAAACACTGCCTTAAAATGTGAAGTTTGATCTGAACTTCACCCAACTTGAATTCTGTCCCTTGAGTTCATTTTGTAAGTAGCATCTGGCAGTTGATTTTAATGTTTCTGAAGACCATGAAAACAAAATACTTACATTATGTGGCAGGGTTCATTTCTGTCTTTCAAACAGTACCCATTTTCCCACTTCTTTTTGGTAGGAAAGGAAGTTTTTATGAATTTTGAACCAGCATGTGTACTTTTGACTCCACACCAAGGTGCATCTAGAGTTAGCAAAGAGAAGTCTCTTAGGAGGTTTAACTTCCTAAAGTACTTTTTAATGAACATTATCAAACTAATATGTAACCTCTAAAATATAAGGCATGATTCAGCTTCAAACAGGGCAAAAAGCAACAGAAAACAGGTCTAAGAAAAAGCACAATATGGAACTGTACAAATTCTTAAATGCTTTACAAGACTCACTTTCTTTCTACCAGCACTGTTGGTGTATGACATGCTTTAAAAAAAGACCTAAAGCTAAAAGAAATATAATTGTACCATGAATACATTTGGGTTAAACTTCTATATTGCCTCTGCTGAGGGTGAAACAGTGGCTTCCAATATTGGGGTTATTCATTAACCTATTTCCTTAATTAAGAATTATGATGGCTTACACATTTCACAAGCATTGTACTTTTAATGAGCTCATTTAGTTTTCACTACTCCCCAAGGAAATAAATGTGTGTTTTTTTTCAAAATGGCTCACTTCTGGCGTCACTAAAAAAGTCCACGTGTATAAGGAGACTGTTGAGTTCCGCAGAAGGATAAAAATTTTAGCTTCTAACCTTGTTTTATTTTAAGAGGCAAAAGATTAATTTTGAAAATTTTTGTACTAAGCCAATTTGATGTAAATTTCTGCACTTTATTTAAAAAGTATTGTAGAATTAAGCCGTTACAAAGAAGACACGGTGTAAACAAATGTGAATGGTTTTTGAAACCCTGAGGTAAAATAGGCTTAGTTAAGATTCCTTGTTCATTCAATAAAATATTCAAAACTACAACTTTCTTAGTTACTGATATCTCCTTTTAAGTGCTTAGGCTTTGTCAAACTTCTAAAATTGAAAAAAACCACATCAATATTTTTTTCATCAATTGATGACCCCCAAAGGTTTTCTGCAAAGTATAATTGTTGAGGTTGAATATGCTATTTTAAAATATTTGTTCACTTTTCTGTAGCTCTTTTTTGGGATGGTTTAATAGGAAAATTTAAAGTTCTAAAAAACTTACCAGTCTCAATCATTAATTTTTCACTAGGTATTGATTTCAAAACTTCCAAATTAGCCTCAGTTTTCAGTGAGCTTAAAAAAAGATTTATATGTACATATATAATTAAAAGGTGCATTAATAAAGAATAACATTTTTTCATATTATAAACGTGTCTAAAACATCACAAAACTAACCCAAAATCACAAACCAAACTTTGGCCACAATGTCTATACACCCCTGTATTTGCACATTCCTATTAAACACAAATTTTAACTTCCAAGGGCTGAAAGTCTTTTTAAAAGAAAGGGTTTATTATTAGGCCATTGCTAGCAAGAAAAAGACCAGCTCCTGGGCCTGAAGTCAAAACAGCACCTTCTTGGAGTTGAGCATTTTCACAGATCACGGAGGGGCTGTGGTGGTGGGGCAGGATGGAAGTTGTTCTGAAAGAATTTACATTGTCTATAGGTAAAGGGGTGGGAGAGGGTGAGGCAGGGCCAGCTCTGGGACAGGCACACAGTCTGCAAGGAACAAGTGTCTGCTCCTGTGCTCTGGCTGTGGGCCAACAGATTGGATGGAAGGAAGCAGCAGAGGCTCCTGGGGCCCCGTGGCGCCTGGCTGTACTCTCTTTGAGATAGTTGTGAAAAGAGTCACCTGGAAGCTAATCCAAAATTCCAGTGACATCCAGGAAGGTTAGCTGTCCTGTCAGCTGGCCCTATAGAATTTAATTGAGGAATCCCTCCTGTCCCTTCCTGGGCCTGCTATAATTTAATTTAGGACACCTCAGAATTTTCTCCCTGTCACCACCTTACAGAATCCAGATTAAGATCTGTGCAGCCAGCTCCTGCCTCTGCGGGGGGTGGGGGGATGGGGGCAGGACAGTAACTTTCTCTGTCGGTCTATGTAAAACGTCACTTTAAGAGAGGGAATTCCTTTGTTTCTCTTGAGTAATTTGCCTAACTCAGAGTGGTGTCATCTAAGCTGCCTCTTTCAGTTAAAACTGTCTTTCAAAGATCTACAGACCAATTCTCCACTAGCAAAACACCTTTTTTCTGTGCTTTTATAGGTTTTCCTTATTGAATATCTATAGTAGTATTTTAGTAGGGTTTTTTAGGAAGGGTGGGAGTGAAACGTGTGTAGTATGCCAAAAGTACCAGCCTTTTAATTAGTGTTCTCTAGAAGGAAAAAAAGGCGTATTTTCATCCATCTTAATACTTGGGTCAATATGAATATTTTCTGAAATATGTTGATATGCTCAGTATTGAGGGGATGCAGAGTTTGCCACCCCAAACTAAGCCTTTTTGGGATACTGATTATTCTAAGCTGGTTATTTTTTTAAAAGAGGAAAAGCCTTTGATCTTTCCTGTGACCGCCTCAGAGAATTTAGACAGAGGACCAGCTCCAGGAAGGGGCTGTTTTCTAGATAACTATACGCTGAACTAAGTGTGACAGGGAGGGCCCTGGCAAGGCCCACCTGGTCCAAGTCGTCCTCGCTGTCCATCGTTAGAGATGGCCCAGCAGACATTTACTGCCCAGACATTTGCTTTTCATCTCCATGGGAACTGCGGTCTGCCCTCTGAAGTCCCAAACCACAAACAAGCCTGCTCCTCCTCTTTAAAGATGGCATATAAGCCTTAACTGCCTCGAGTGTCCTTTGGTCTCATATTCTTATGGAACCCCCATATACACATATGTAATAAATTTGAACGTTTTCTCCTGTTAATCAGTTTCATGTTAATTTGATTATATCAGGCAGAACTTAGACGGGTAGAAAGAAAATTAATCTTTTTGCCATCGCAGTTTGGATACTAAATTTAAAGCTTGTCACCATATTACCAACTTATTTGCATATTTTTGATCTCATGAAATATTGTCTAATTGACTTAGTCTTTTCCTCCACGTATTCCAAGTTTGTAAAAATTGATTTAAATACAGAAATATATAGTACCAGAGGGAGTATTTTTAAAGCCACTATCTTTATTGAATAAAGTTTCTCACTTGAGGAAGAACAACTGTCTGATTCTGTAGTCAAGTTTAAAACTTGCCCCTTTTCTTTGGGAAAAAAGTTATAATTTAATCCTTAGAAACCAAAGACTTTGACATCAATAGTATAAAACAGATTAAATTAACCATACCACGGAGACTCAGATTAAGACTACAATAAATTGAATTTCAAAATAAGAATGGAAATACTGACTTTGATGAGATGAATGACTAACCCATTAATTCCAGGTAATGCAGGAGGAAAAAGTCAAGTCTTTATAAACTCAGTTTAGAAATATCTCAGACAGAATTACGGTCCAACTGGGCGGAATAAAGGTGCCTACCCAGACCCTTCTCTTGAAAACCAACCCAAAATAACAAGGAAAAAAATAAACAGCATTTTGATGAAACTAGGAGTTTGATGAAACTAGGAGACATTTCTAACCCCTAATCAAAACATAAAGCAGAAAATGGATGGATAAATGATAAATAACCTGTGTTTATGCGCTAAGTGACTTAAGTGCTGTGTGCCTGCAGAGAGATATACAAAGGACAAGCAAACCAATTCAACCCAAGAAAGTTCTCATTGCAAGAACTAGGTCCCTAGAAAGGCTGGGAAGGCAGGGTACTGAATGGGGGGATTGTTTGAAAAGTCGGGACAAAGATGGGACTCCCAGATGACCTTCTGCGGAAATGGTGCAGAGACGGTTACTTTTGCCCCCATCCAGGGGAAGGAAGGAGACGGGGAGGGAAGGAGAGGAAGGGAGAGGGAAGTGTACAGTCTGGAGAACTGAAATCAGAGACTGGCCTGGAGCACAAGCTGCATAGAGGCGTGCAGGGCGAGGCATGGGGCTGAACAGTGAGATCTCCAACCCCACCCTGCTTCGGAACGCAGGTACTTTTATGAACCCTCAGCCCCACGTTTCCTGCAGGGATCAGAGGAATCTGGAGAAGCTGAACTGACCCAGAAGAATGTCTCGACAAGCGGACATTGAGGAACCCCTGGTGAGCATGTCAGTCGGCCACTTGACTGGCCTGCCAGTTAATGGGCTAGCTCACCACTGAACTCCCAAACAGCTTTTTTTCTCTTTTTAACTTCTTAAATATACAGGGAAGAATCGCCTGACATTTGAAGAAAGCTTTCATCATAATAGAGAACAAAAGAGGAAAAGGAACTCAGAGGAAATAACAGCATTTTTCGGCAAACAGAAAATAACTTTTAAAAACTGTAATTCTTTCATCTTGAGAGAGAGGAGAACGCTACATTTGTCAAACAAGCTTATGGTAGTAAAAAAAGGGAAAGCTTTCAGAGGTTGAAGTATCATAAAACAGGTTGAAAAAATAAAGCACATTTTTTGAAAACAGAAAAAAAAGATAGAAATCGTAGAATAAAAAGATCAGAGTATAACCTAAGAGGTCCAAAGAACTAAAAAAAAAAAAGAAAATTGAGAAAATTTCCCAGGACTGACAAAGATGAGCTTCTAGCTAGAAAGGGCTAGTAGAGAGCACATAACAAATGACAAAAAAAACCATCAAAACATCTTTGTGAAGTGTGACAATACCAGAGATAAAGAACCAAAATCCACAGGAAAAAAAAAGTGTCATGGGGAAAGGATTGGGAATCAGAACAGCAACTGACTTATCAACATTGGAACCTAGAAATGGAACATTGTAAATTCTCAGTGAAAATGATTTTTAATCTAGAATTTCACTCCCAGAAAAACTATCAAGTGAAAGTGTTTTGTTTTTTTAATGCACTAACTTATCTAGGCAAACTTTCAAGAGGAAAAAATAAAATAATTTTCAAACATGTTCCATCAAAACAAACGAAAAAGGAATACATGGGACCTCAAAATAGGCATTCTGTCACAGAAGAGACACTAGTCCAAACTGAAGCAGAAGGATAGAAGGGTCTGGAACGGAGGGAACTAGCAGATTATCTAGGCAGGTTTCCTTATGTGGAAAAATAGAGAAAGGCATTTTACAGAGCTGTTGGGAAGTGTGAAGAAGGCTTCAAGTTTTGAAGCAAGCCAAGTAAATAAAAGTTACTCCAGGAGAATCAAAAAGCAGTACATCCCACAGTTCAGCAGTCAGCAGTAAACAGATACAATAATGAAAACACCAAATATGCATATAACCCAAAACTCTGAAATAACTACACTGACAGACTGCTGGAGGATAATGCAGGTTGGGGAACAGTATGGGACATCCGAACTTAAATGCTCGCATGCCTTAATGAGAATAAAGGGAATGAATCTGAGAAGAGCAATGCATAGTACGTATGTACAAACGTGACAAATCGCACTGTGGCTGCCTCTGGAAAAGTTGACTTTGGGGTAGAGGGCATGCTGGGGAGACTGTGTTTGTTTATAAGCCTCTTAGTACTCCTGGACTTTTTAATCCATGTGCATGTATTCCTCTGCATATTCATTTATAAATTAATCAGATAAAATATGGAAGACACATCTAGGACATTTAAATAAGTCCGAACTCTACAGCAAATAGGTAATTTCATGATTCTATTTTCCTAAGATTTTAATTTAAAAAAGAACAGAATGAGAAAAGTAATTTAAGGGAATGAAACACTGAAGCGGGAAAGCAATCTCATACTATTTTGTAATTTATTTAACGAGGTGCATTGACAGCCTGTCAAAACACATTGATGGAGGCTAACCAAATATGGGAGGAAACGAACCTGTGTTGGGTTTGTATGCGGTTTTAGCATGAAAGGTCAGAAGGGTCAGAGTGAGGAGCCAGAGGGCACAGGATCTCACACATTGAGTTACTTTATACCCGTTTCTTAGCTTCTCTAATCCTCAGCTACTTGGCCTACTGTATATGTATAAAATAATTATCTAAGATAAGATTATGTCACAGTATGACCTTTTCCCCATGGTCAGAAAGCACTTGTAGACAACACTGTGAACACGTATGTTTCAAAGGGCTAAGATAACCTGAAAATAAGCTGCAATGCTAGACAAAGCTGCCTGCTGAGCTCACCACAACACTGTTTTCCATTATTAGAGCAAAAGGTAGTAGTAGTTTTTAACATTCCAGCTTTAACTTGTAATAATTTAATTTCTTACGTAAATAATTAATGAAATTCTCAGGCCAAGATCAATGCAAAATACAAACTTTAATAAAAATTTAAATCGCAACTCACTGTAAAACAATTTAAGGAATATGCTTAATATAAAAACTAAAAACAAGAACCTACCAACCATTAAATCCTATATAGAGATCCAAGTCAATCAAAGCGGCCGCGGCCTCCTTAGTGCCATCAAATGAATGCACCTAAGGGACAGACAGGGACAGTTTTATTATAATCACCCTTTCTTTAAAATTCTAAACACTAATAAGATTTTCTAAGCAAAAATTGATGCATTAGGGTTTCAAATGTGGTGGCCCCTACAATTTTTATTTTCAAATAAATTTTCACAATTATAACCTGTCGTCATCTCCAATGACACGAGGCAAGAAGGAATTAGTTGGCTGCCTAAACTTGCTGTCTTTGTGGCTGTGTGGCTGTCTCCGTACGGGCATTATTGCATGTATACGTTATAGTATGTGCTTCCAGGAAGGGGAGCTGGAGTAGGGAGCCACATTCTTAGGCAAACGCATGACAGAAAGTTAGAAATGCTATAAAACTATTTAAAATATATTTTAAAATATTCAATTTTTCTGTTAGAGGATACTTTTTACTAGAACAGGAATGACGTTTAAGAGAGAAGTTATAAGAGATTGGGGGAATGTTGCTAAAAAATCGTAAATAGTTATACTGTCAATAATATCAGCTCAACAGGCAAAAAAAAAATTTTGAACTGGTGTGTCTCCTTCAAAGACATAGGGGTTAAGGCATAGTTTTCACAGTCTGGATGTATTTATGTAATCAAAACCAGTGAGTAACAATAGTAATGCTCCTTTAAACACACCTAGCCAGTGATGTCACACTGAGTCCAGAGAGACTGAACACACCAACGATAACATGTTTCTCAACAATAAAGGAAACGTATTACACAACTGCCCCAAAGGGTTTATTTTCTCCCTCAGCATTTCCAGCTGACTAGAAAATATGGTCTCCAAGAATCTCAAAATAGTCTTAAATGTGACTCCTCATAAACCATTTCAGAAAATTAGTTATCAATTCTTTATTTGACAATCTTTTTAATAAAAAGTCAAACATTTCAAGCGGATTTGTTGTTGCTGTTAATTTTTAAAAACGTATCGAATCATCCAAGTAGATTCTTATTTAGAAATAGAGCAAATGGGCTGGGAGGTAGAGCTTGAAGGTTATGAGTGCCACCAGTACTCCCAAGGGCACCAAATGAAAGCTGCTCTCAATTCCCAAGTACTGTTCCTAAAGGATAAATGATAGGGTCAGTCAACTGCAGATAAAAATGTGCACAGTAACATTAATGCCCCAACAATGCAGAAAACACACATATTGCTAGTATGTAGGAAACACGAGGCAGAGGCTAAAAATTTGAGAGAATATATACGAAGCTGTCAAAGCAATGCAATGTGGGTATATAATTAGCGCATAGTGCTACTTCCTCTTTCCTTAGCTGGCACAGTGTAATGATGTGGTTTTACATACCTAGATCATTGTTGTTTTGAGGGAGACCTGTGAGTCTCTCCTGAAATTAGGTATGAAAATTTGTGTATCTGACCATTTTTCTGGGGCAGATTTTCAAAGGAGTCCATGATCCAAAAAAGATGAAAAATCACTGCTCTGGATACCTGAGTTAAGTGCTGGGCAGATAATACTTATAGGAAATGTCTTCAGACCATACAGGAGAAGTGAGTGTGTAGAGCAGAAGCAAATTACAGAAAGGAGAATGAGTTTCTAGATCAGAGTAATAACAGTCAATGAATACAGCTGACAAGAAATTAAGAAGGCAAACCTGAAATGCTAAAATACTTTAAAATATTATTAAAATTAGTTTATATTTTGCTCAAATTTAAGAATGGCTGATAGGAGAGGCAGCACAGAAATAATATCACACACTGTTAAAATGTGTGGGAATACGTTCAGGGGCTCTCTCTGAGTAGAATTCTGCACTCATTCTTGTACTCTCAGTTACAAAGTAACTCAAGTAAAACAGTGATTTATTATGTTTGTACCACATCTGGCCCATAGACTCCATAGTAAATTTACATGTCCCTCAAATAGTGAGAGAAGAACCTTAATAATTTTATTGCTGACATTTGAATTACTTTAGAGGCAAACCTTAATAACCAAAATGCTTTTGTGCAGCATATATTAAAATCAACTCTTTTATACTTACTACTCCACCTACACACCGATCTCTATTTCTTTTCATTATGTCTGTGAATTAAAAACAGAGCAAACTTTTAGCAAATAGCTTGATTTCTGCAAAACTTATACTCTAAATGATACTTTTGCTTTAACTCACCTAAAAATTCAGCATGTGAGTTTCGACAGTGAAGAAACATGGGTAATTTTGTTTGTTCTGACAGTTCAAACTGTTTTTCAAAGTATCTGCATAATGCAAAAAAAGATTTCCTTGTTAAATATTTTAGCATGACAAAAATAATTACATCAAATGTTTTTTTATAAAGGACTTTTATTCTTTAGAAATTTATAGGACATAAAGAGTAAATTCAGACATTTAAAATACATCAGGCTTAGCCAAGGGCTTCTAGAACACACAACACCTGGAAAGGGATACTTCATTTTCTGGGATCACAAGATTATCTCAGAAACGTTTGTTAGTTTTTCGATTATAACTACTAGGTAAATTAGGTAGTACCATATTTCCCCATGTATAAGACACTCCCATGTATAAGATGCACCTTAATTTTGGGGTCTGAAATTTGAAAAAAATGGATTACATAAAGTTATTGAACTCAAGTTTTATTTATCATAAAATTCATACAACTCCTCATCACTTGCAGGAAATGCAAGTAAAAAAATCTACAACCACTGTGTAAGACGCACCCAGTTTTTAGACCCCAAATTTTTCGGAAAAGGGTGCGTCTTATACATGGGGAAATACGGTACTTTACTACCGATCGCTAGAAGTATAGAGCTACAGTTTAGCGGTATGTTATAACTAGCTTTCCAACCAAATCCCAGCAAACGAAGCAGACCCCCTCCATGAGCTGTGGGATCCGTCGTCCCCTGCATGTGTGTTGGTCACAGGAAATACATGGTCAGCCCCTGACCCTAAGAGCTGGCTGAGCACATCAGGACTCAGCTCACTCAGTGAGAAGCCAGGCGGAGCTTAGTGTTTTCTATGTGCTGTTGTATAAGAAATTACTACCACTGAGCAAAAGGAAGGGTTCCCTTACAAACTAACATATAGGAAGCACCAAAACTGAAATACTATTTTTCAGAAAAATGAAAATTACATGATAAATGACAGCCCTGAATCTTTTATAAAAACTCTTTTCAAGTGCCGTATACCAATATCTCATTTGATACTGAAAAGAGCCCTAGCACAGGATAAGAGCCACTGTCAGAGGGGGTAGGACCTCATCCAAGATCACAACACACATGTCAAACATGGAACCAGAATTTTAGTCCTCTTAATTCCAAGTACAGGCAAAGCGGCCAAAAGTTGTGGCATTTCAAAGAAGCCTCTTCCTGGTCCCACAGTATCATAACAATATCCAGAGGATGTAATGGGCAGGGGGGTTCTTTTTCTTTCTTTTTTTTTTTTTTTAAAGCACACTGCTCCCTCTCATTCTTATTAATGGTCAAGTAGTTTTAACTGAAACCAGGAGTTACAGATAACAGAGGTCTTATTTTCTAAGGGGTTTATCTCTTCTAGGCCCCTTAATTTGGGGGAACAATTTAAGGGTTTAACTTAAATCTCTTTTGTAATATTTTCCTATATCTTGTCTCCTCCAGTGCAGCACAACTATTTTCCTGGAGTACCACTTTGCACTCTTGAAAATGCTAAATTTAAAAATTAGAAATATATTTCTTAAAGAAATAGTCTTCCTAAAATTGGTGGTCTAATGTCTTCTTTACCCAATGTTTAGGTTTGTAAACCGCCTTTTCATATTTTGCTGGGCTAGAATAAGCAAAAATATTTTTAATTAAAGTACTGGAATTTCAGTGTAGGAAATATAAGCAAAACTTGGGAGAAAAAAAGATTTTAATTATTACTACTATTTCCATAACCTCTAAAGTAATTCAAATACCAGCAATTAAGTGGGCTCCAGTCACTATGTAAACTTGACTATGTATCTGGCTTCTGGCTTCACACAGCAGGCAGCACTCTCTACTTTTTGTGTTTTCCCCTCTAAACTGAAAATTTCTTTCATGCACAATTCTATGTACAAAGCCACATGACCAAGCCGATTTCCAGAACCTAATGATCAGCCTGGAAATTAGCCTTCCTATCGACGACCAGGCAAAAGTACAATTTATGAAAATACCAGATGCTCAAGCAACGTGTCTACAGAATCTGTATAATTTTAGAAAAGTAAGGTCAATGTGCTCAAGCTAGACAGATAACATAAGGAAGCCACGTGGTAAAAAATACCCCTAATGATACAAATTGAGGACAACCGGTACTTAACATCAAAGGACTAGTGTCTTAGAAGACAAAAAAAATGCCACCGTGGTAACCAGAAATAACAATGTAAATTAAAGGGCAGGAACTGGAACCTATTAAGGGATTTCTCTGCTTTTATTTATGATTTTTTTTTTTTTTAGTTAATAAATGAAAATCATTCCTGAAGTTAAGATTTGCTCATTTGATTCTGATTGTATTATTGCTTCTTATAGTTTAGGGTCAACAATTAACTAAGGACAAAGGCTTGAGAAGTTTAGCTTCAAAGTAGCAGCTTTTATTAATTGGATTCAGCCAAATCCAAAAGAACCACTGCATTACACCAGTATACCTTACCCCAGGGTGATAATCCCTCCTCAAGCTGGCTGATGGCAAGGATGGCCTTAATCTCTCATCTCTGAGGTCCCTTAGGTCCCCAAACATTTACTTTGAAATTGTCTGATGTTTGATTTAAAAAACAAAAAACAAAGCCAACAAAAAAAGACATGCACAGTATTAACATTTTAAAAACCCTAGAAAAATGCCCAAAGGAAATTCTTCTCACTCAAGTGAACAGAGCTCTAACTTGCAATAAGGAGAGGAGCCCAGGACAGAGCAACTGGAAATACAGGTATGTTTAAAGGATAACCACACTGAGGAGGCAGCTGGCAACCATTTACTGAATGGAGGTGGAACTCTAACAGATTAACACCTGGATGATTGGCATGTGTGTTAAAACATAAACCATAGCCCGCTATATATATATATATATATATATATATATATATATATATATATATATATATATATATATATATATATATATATTGTTTTAAGTTCTGATCTTAAGATGATAAAACAACTGATACTATCAATGTCTTAATACAATAGAGTTTAATGTTATTTACATTGCCTTTTGGAATCAGTATTAACTTATCTGGATTTAAAGTCACATGGGCAAGATATCCTGAGGGACTCTACCACTGGCCTTGATTGTCATACCTTATTCATATTTTTATCCAATGAGTTCCTAGCAGTTTCTGGCACGTATTACTCTATTAAGTATTTATTCAACAGTTGAATAACTAAGTTAACATCCTTTAGAAGCTCATTCTAGTGCTTTATCATCTTGATAATTAAGACATTGTTTATGAAATTCAACAAAATGCTCATGTCTTAAATTAAGCCTATGACCAAATTTTTCTTTTCAGTGTATTAACACTACCCACCAGTATGTCAGGAGCTCCAAGTAAAAGCTACAGCAATAGTGTAGGAAGTCCCCAAGGCTTGTGAGCTTTGGAGTTTTTTAAGAAGCCACCGCTCTAAACATGGCCCCTATGAAAGGATTCTCATGTTCTCAAGTGGCAATATCCAATGCCTAGCAAGAGTAAAATATGTTTTTGTAGCTTTGGTGATTGATCCTATAATCTCTTTTTAATATCCCTTCCTCTTAAATCATATGTCCCACACAACAATTTAATTCATTTCACTGGAATGGTTCATGTGTGAATGCATTTATTAAGCAAACAAAAATCAACAAAAAAGTCTTTTCTGTGTAAAACTCATCCCATATTTCTACCATTAAAATCAAATTAGGTGGTTTATCAAGCAGGGAACTGTTTCCATCCCTTATGAATTCATATAAGTATACATGGAATTTGTTTCACTTGACTTTTGATATACAAAGGGAAAAACAAAATATCCTGATGCTTACCCCAAGTACATTCTGAACTGATTAAAAAAAAAAAAAACAACAAACCAAAAACAAACAAAAAAACCCGCCGCTATTTTAAAAACCCCTCTTACGATTTTACAATAAATTCTAGTCAGCCAATTTCCTTACTTGAGTTGAGTATCTCTGGGACAAAACTGTAGTCGGTCAAAATCTTTAAAAGATAAAAAATAATCAATTACCACTCATGACTTGTACAGAACAAATCAATTATTTTCAAGGTTACTCTAACAGGGCCAGGGTGGGGCTTACCGAGTCCACATTCCCCTATTGCTACAACTTTCCCCTTGTTGTTTTCAGCAAGATTTAGCAACTCCATTAAATAAAGATCAGGATTATTCTTTTCAAATTCGTCACATCTTGTAGGATGACATCCAACGGTACTGAAAAACATATCTAGCACAAAATAATGTCTTAGGATTATTTTCAAAATATTTTTTTCATATTTATATTTAATATACATACATGAGAGAATATCAATTTCAACTGGTTGATTTTTAACAATAGCCATCAACTATTCAAACGGCCAGAACTGCATTAGGTTAATCACATAAGAATTTTTGGAATACCTTAACAAAGTAGAACATGAAAACTGCCTTAATGTACTGGCAAAAATAATTAATGTAACTCTTTCTAAAGCTTGGTATTTACGGAGCCTTGTAGAATAGAAAATGAAACAATCTCTTGGAGAATGAAATGTCATAACCTAATTTTATCTTTTATTATTCAATGTTCATGTGGCTAATTCCATGTATTTAATGTAACAGTTACAATGCACTCCTTCTCCTTACAAAGGGTGACTGAAAGAGGTGGAAGGGGGATTTGTTTTCCTAATAAAAAATAAAGCTCACTTATGTGGAGGCCATATTTTGAAAGCTTTAGTTGTATGGAACACACATGTGAAGTCAAACAGAGCTTTTGAGTGGCGTAAGGTACTCCTTGTACCTGGACCCAGGGGAGAGGTGGCGAGCCCCCTAGGGCTCTCCTGCAGAGGTTTATGGATAAAGGGAGGCAGAGCTTTTTAAGCAGAGAGGACACAGGTTGTGGAGAGGAGTGGAAGAGGGCTGACATCCGGGGTCCGAGAAGTTTTAAAAACATATCTGTCTGGGGGTAAAGAGTATGGAAGATAATTTTCTTATACACTTCACAAGCTCTGGGAAGAGGACTACCTTTATGACCTTAATCACTAAGAAAAAGTATCAGTGGATCCTGCCATAAAAAATAGCTTTTAATAAGTCAGTATTTTGGAAAAATAATGTGGGATGCCTTCGTCTTCAGTGTCTAGCAGATGAAGCATCCCCCCCACCACAGAGAGTTAAGTAAATGAGTGCCAGATAAAGGAGGTGTTTTATATCATTAGGATTCCTTTAGGAACCAATCCCAAAACTTCAAAGATTTCAAATAAGTGCAGAATGTATGAACATAAAGTAAAGTATCTGAGGGATTATTAACTTGCATTCCTGGGCCTTGCACATTATTACATATTTAATAAATGGTTTTTCATGACTTAAGTTAAAAAATAATAAAAAGCAACTCATCTTAAACACATTACAATATACATGCAAACATTCTAAATCAGGAATATCTGAGGTTTAATTGTATACCTAATGACCTTAATTCTCATTAACTGAAATCTTAAAACAATCCTTATTAAGTACAATGAGAGGGTTTTTATCAAGCATCTGATATACCAAAGGGCACTTTGAATTTTTCCATCTTAATCATGGTCCATTGAAATTAGTCTATTTTCCTGCTGTTTTAACAGTCACGATCCATTGTATTGTACCTGAAGCAGTTCAGGAAAGACTTCTTCAAAACAACTTAATTCATATTTTTTTTGGTAAAAGGAATATGCAGATACCATTTGTTTGTGCCAAATGCAGTGCATCTTTACTGTCTTGTAGATTTCCGCCTGTAATCATAAACTGAAATAGAAAGCAATAAAATAAGCCCACTTTAACAGGGTATCAGTAACTCTTCTCCAAACACACCTTCCTGCTGCTTTTTTCCAGAATGCTTTTCTCTTAGACCCTTCCTTTAAAAGCCACTGGAAGATCACCTCCTATGTAGTGTTCCGTCTACCTCACCACGGACATGCAGACACACAATACACAGAATTCACCACTCCTTCCTATTAAAATGTACTCACATGTCAGTCTTTCCTATTCTATTGGACCATGAGTTCTTGATGACAGTGATCATACTGCTTGTGAAACGTTTCAAGAGACTGAAGAACTACGGCTCTCTGAATTTAGAATTCTGTTCATCTAAATTAGTGATTCAGTGGCGCTATTTCAGCAGTTCTCCAAGTGTGGTGCCGGAACCCCTGGGTTGAGATCAAAGTGATTTTCATAATACTAAATTGCTCTCTGC